CTTTCTCTCAGCACTCCCCATACTACCAGGACAGACAGAGCCATAATCTTACATAAATGTGCCAGTGTTTCCCCTCACACTGTCTACTTATTCTACAGACCCTTGTTGACCCCTACTCTGTGCCAGGCACCTAGGGTCCTCAACTACAGAAAACACAAATAGTGGTGAAGAGAGACCAGGAGAGTAGGAACTGTGCCGGTGTAAGGCAGATAGAGGGGGTATGGGAACAGAGAACCACCCAGGTTCTGCTTGGCACGAGAGCTTATCACATCGAGTTATGGTTATTTATATACTTTGCTTATCTCCTCTACTATCCTATAATTTCATTGAGTCTACAAACCTGATACAGTTTTAAACTGATACATCAACTCATGCTTACAACAACTCTAGGGACTATTATTATCGCCATTTACAGAGGAGGTTAAGCAGCTTGCCCAAGGTCACCCAGATGGGACATGGAAAGTGCGGGACCTGAATGCCCCCATCTGCCTCCCTTGGCAGCACCGTTAACTACTGAGCCCTAGTGCTCCTTACATAGGCAGATGGGACCAGGGTTCAAATCCATGCTGGAATCACCTGAGTATTCCTCTGTCTTTCTTCTGGGAGTCTTTCATTTGTATGTAGTTTGGGGAGTAGTGGCTGATTCCCCAAATCAAAACTAAAAGGACCCAACTCACCCTTTCTCTTTCTTGAATCATGACTTAGGCTCAGTCAACTGAGCACTAAGGTGGTGACCTGGGGACTGACTGCTCATCATAAAGGCATAGAAGACAATTGTTTCAGCAGAACGAACATTTACCTTCCACCTGACTATTCAACAGGTTTCCCTGCCTTCTCTATACCTTCCATACAATTTATTCTCCACAGAAAAGCCAGAGTGGTATTTTATAAAAGTATCTCAGGTAATAAGTAATTCGCCACTTTTTAAAACTATTCGGTCCTGCATTAACTCTCCTTCTGGAATGCTTTGTTATGGGAGACTATGGTGAATTCCTGCTTGATATCCAAATCAGGGTTCAAAGTCAACTTCCTTAATCATCCATAAAATTTTATGTCATCAAGTAGCATTCTACCACAATATTTTAATTTACATCTCCATATAGCACTTATAATCATCTAATATTTAGGTGATTTATGTATTTCTTAATGTATTTTGTATTGCCTGTGAAGAACTATAAAAATGATGATATTAATAATAAATCACAGCTAGAATAATAGGTAATATTTTTGCAATGCTTCTATATGTTAGGCCCTTTTTGAGTTACTAGTTCTTTGTATGTTAATACAATTCACTTTACAATAAGCCTATGAAGTAGTTATCTCTATTTTTCATGTAAGATATTGAAGTACTATGAGGTTAAGTAACTGGACATCCAGCTTGTTCCAAAGTTCAAGTCCTTAATCACAGTGCTAATATATATATTTTAATTATAACATGCCTTCCACTGTAGCTCAGAAATAATTGCTAAAGAAGAAGGAGGAGGGTTAGGAGGAGGAGGAAGGGCCTGCCCAGCCCTTCTGTGCTTCCTTAGACTTTGATTTCTCAGCCTGGTCATCCAACCACCTATGGATTTGGTGAGGTTCCGCCATCCCTCCCACAAATTCCCTTTTAATATATATGACAGCCAGAATCAATTTATGCTCTTTTCAGCCAACAATCCTGGTCAATACACCCTGAGTGTTTCACTCTGAGCCTTGCACACAGCAGGAGGACAGTATGTCCGCAATATAAATGCATGAGATAGTGCAACTTAGTGAGACTACAAAGTCACCTGCTGTGATGGCCTGGGTGGGGGAGGCTGTGTCACCAACACCACACTAACGTTTCATATCGCCTTCACTCCTTTGATCTTTCTTCGTTATGAAATGTTTTATATATGTGAAATTTTGTAAATCTTCATTTAAGGGCTATGCCCTCAATTCTCTTTCCTTATTTTATTCCTAACAGTTTCTCCCAGGGACCCTGCAAAAGTAGGAGCTCCTTTCTTCTCTCTTCAAACCCACACCCTTAGGACACAGAAGAAAGAGCTTTTGCTCTTCCACAAGACCCAAGAGTCCTCATGGTCTACATCACCTCCTCTGAAAGTGTTCAAATTCAGCCTGTCTCCTCGCTTTCACTGCAGGGAGGTCTTTCCGGTCATAGGCATCCTGAAAGTTGTAGCCCTGATGTTTGGTGTCACATTCGCACTGTTTTTTCGGAAACAGCCTAAAACAAGCAAGAGAATTGTGAACATTATTGGGTGGGTGGGCTGGTGGTGAGAGGGAGCCTGAGGCCTGATCCAGTGTGTCATTCTGAGGTTCTCCTTCCCCATCCCTGCTGGGCTAGTTGGGTTGAGACTCTGGAATCTCAGCGGTGGCTCCTGACAGAGACACAGGGATGGGAAGAAGATCCCTCTCTCTTGAATTATCCCCTGCACCAAACTTCTTTAAACTTGAGAG